TTATTGGTCACTAATATCTAAATTGGTCAAAACTAAAGATTTCTATGAGTCATACGATTTGGATGTTTGCTGTTACACGAATAATAATTGTGATGCCAACTAGAATTACTTCAAAAATGAAAATGAAAAATAGTCAGGTTAAAAAAGCCATGTTTTTTTTTAAGTTGTGTAATATAAAAAAAAATAAATCAGCCGGTTTGGTTTTGGTATGTAACATTACATTTTAAATAGTGCATGAAAAGCAGAAGAGATAGCATTGTATGGGCTCATGTGGATCTGATTGCTCCAGTTAACTCTGCCCGTAACAGCCAGATATCTGGCAGCCCATCCATTTCCACCCAATTACATCAAACACTGCTTCAACAAGCAGAACCTTCTATAATTAGTCTACAGACAATGCATTTGGACACCTTACCTTGCCGACATATTGATGGTCATTTCCTGTGTATTCCTCAAGCAGAAAGAATTGATTCCACATCCAGCCCCGTTTGGAACGCTGCAGAACTTTCCCGTCACTCTCTGGCATTCCAAAAAGGTTCTCAATATTCCCAGGCAAGAAAGGAAGGGCCGTACTGGGCCACAGGCTGGTGAGCATCAGGAGTAGCAGAGCCTGATTGCTTATCATGGTATCCAATCAGCTGGGAAATGGTTTGCAATGACTTCTGAATTATGGTAATAGGCTTCTGAGAGGATAAACACTGGAAGGTAGCCTCATCAGAACACACATTGTATCCTTTTACTTATGCCCTTCAGATTTCTGTGAAGAGAGGAAACTGCAGTTAACAGTAGCATTGTGGCTTTCATGTTCAATAATGTCAACATTGTAAAAACTGCAGATGACAACATAATGCTGCAACGTCATCAGAGCAATGCYTATGCCATTTGTGTGTAACTGATAGAATGCTACTTTGTTCATGGAATCGTACTAAAAGGGAGAAACATCCATGTTAAATTTGTCAATATGAAACATTAATAGTATCCAAAAACATGGCATCACTTGGCCTCCAGTACTAGCGTAAAGAACCTCAGAGTGACATTTGACCAGGATCGTTTTCTTCCACCTGTGCAATATTATTAAAATTAGAAACATCTTGTCCCAAAAATAACACAGGAACAGCTGGTCCATGCATTCATTTCATCTAGGCTGGAATATTGTAATTCTTTATTATCAAGATGTTCTATATTTCTCTTCTATAAATAAAAAAATGCACCTGGACCTATCTTTCTGGGTTTGTCTGTGTTTCTTTTCTGTTCTCCCAGGCCCCAGCTGGTCAAGTCAGATGGTTGCCYGTTCTGARCCTGSTTCTCCTGGAGGTTTCTTTACGTTAGAACTGAGTCATTCCTTCCCACTGTTGCCAGTGTGCTTAGTCAAGMTGATGGATTGCACCATGTACAAGATTTGACAAATGTTGCTGGTTTCCCCAGAAAGACAACCTTTCCACTTATTGGCATATCTTAATGTATTGTGTATGATTGTTGCATCAGTGAACTGTGATGTAACCTTTTGCACACTCATCTCTAGAAATAGGCACTATCTTCTCCACAACCCAGAAAAACACGTTTACTGTTATGATTATGTGGAATTAACCCTGAATTTGAATCTGACTTATTTTCTAAGACAACCTTTTTTGTGAGATTGCACTGTTCAAGTAAAATGGACTGAATAAATTAAAATAAGTATTCAAGACAGTTCAATGTCTAAGAAACTTAATCATGTTTTTTTTACTATTTATTTATTTTCTTAGACATCAGTGTCAAACTTGAAGCAAAAGTAAAGATAAAAACAAAAGCTTACTTGTTGGCCGTAAGAACTGCTCAATAATGACATGAGTGAGCCACTGTAGCTTCCTGTGTTAGATCTGAGATCACAAGTTTGAGTTTTATTGAAAACCCTGATTTAAGCATCAAATCTCACAATATTTTTTAGACAAAAAAATAGAAAGTCACTGATGAACAACTATTACATGCCTGTCTTTAAAGTTGACTAAAGTGCATTACAATGCACTACAGTAATGCACTTTATACTGATCACTTTAAAATATAACTATAGAGGCGACTTCGGTGTATTAAAACTCTGCATTAGGCTGCTATAAAAACCAAGAGGATAGAGTGTATTAGCTTTAGCTGCTCTGCRCTGGCTTCCTGTTCCTTTTAAAATTGATTTTGAAAGGTCTCCTTACATATAAAGCTCTTAATAGCCAACAGCCAAGTTGCTTTACAAATTCACCTCTGTAAATATATGCTTCTGAGAAAATTGCAGTATCTACTGTCAGTTTATTGAGGCCTCCTCACAACATTATATTTATGATAATTCATAATCAGTTAGTTACACCCAAAGCTTTAGAATGCTCTTCTTATTGTAGCAAAATATTTGCTAAAACAAAAGAAAATTTAAAATTTATACATGCACATCAGCTTTTAATTTGTAATCAAGTTTAACCACTGCTGACTTGTTTTTTAGCTCATATTTTATAATAGATTTTTTCTCTATTTTTATTTTATTCCATTTTATTTTTATTATTATTTTTTCTTTTTTGCATAATTACTAATGCTGTTTGTCTAACTGCTTTTTTGTGTGCTTTGAGTTAGTCCTGGGAGTATATGTTTGGCATGGCCGTCTACTTCTACCACATCCAATTTAACTCATCTGTAAATTTGCTTGAGCTATAACCATTTATGTGTTCCCTAAGGTCAGTTGGCTGAGGTGACCATTTCGAATGAAGTTGAGTCTAAAACTCGACAAGTCATAATTTGCACAAAATGACTATTCTGCGAAAGTTTTATTTATTTATTTATTTATTTATTTATTTATTTATTTATTTATTTTGTGGTTGATGAGACATTTCACTCACAGAGTTGATTCTGAAACTTAAAGGTAGCATTTTAAAAACAGATCTTGAAAGATGTGTTGAGAATTAATTCCTGCTCTGCTACATCAAAGTTTATCTCAGTATCTGTAAAACTGAATGAGTTGCAGTCCTTTTGGTGATTCCAACATTTGGTTGACCGTGGTGGTCCTTGTAAACCGWATCGATTCCAAAAGTTAAGCAGCTGTACAATTTAATCCAATGWTGATTTTTATTAAAATTTCCACAGTGATTAACTGGATATTTTGCAAACAAAACATACAAGCACAGTCACACATAAACACACAAACACAAAGGCCAAAAACATAATCACCCATTGGCAGTGGGCAACAATGACTGGGAAGTATCGAGTGCATGGCAAATTTTATTATAGTTGCTCATGTTCCTTTTTTTAATATGATGGTATTATTTTAACAGCAATCTTTTCTGATTAGCAATCATTTGTCTATTATTACATTATTCAGTSTATTACTCAGGTTATATAACTTACAGACTTTTGTTCTTTGTTGGGTTTTTACTTTCATTACCGACACTGACATCTCACAAAACCCATATAATTTATTTTCAGCCTATTTTTTTCCCCACAACTCACCTATAATCATTTGCAAATGTCCACTTTTCCGAGGCCAATAATTTGAGTTTATTATGTGTGAATAATAGGCGCAAGCAGCACTTCACTAATTATTACTTACATTAGGCTGCGGATGTGCTTCAAAGCCACTGAGCATGTTTGAAAAGCTTTTCGAAGAAGGCGGCTGCTGGCGCCGAGCACTTTTGACGTGGTGGTGGTGGTGTGTGTGTGTGGGGGGGGGGGGGGGTAAAAGACACCGCCCCAACGCCTTCTTCCCAAACTCGGATTTTATTTTTATGTCTTGCTTCACACTCATTCAGTCACAGTGTGCAGCTCCTCTGCTAACATGTGAAAATGGATTGTGTTGCTGAAGGGGAAGTCTCTCTTTTTTTCCCCCATCTCTTCATCTTCTCTTCTCCCCACCTTTCCCCATATTTCACACCTACTTACAATCTTTAGCTCCACTTCATTTTGTCTCCATAACTGATAAGTGCATTCACTGATTTGCACCCCCACCCCACCTCCAAGATGGTGTGATGTTCTCTAAAGAAGCAAAATCCACGAGCATTACTAAAACTGCCAAAAAATAAAAAAGTAAAAAAAATCCCCAGGTATGTGTGGAGTTGTGTGCCTGCGACAAGCCAATTTGTGTTTTTGGCAGTCTTCGTCCAATACCTCACCAAGGTTGTGTCCCCAGCAGGACTGGCCCTGATAGGTAATTTGGCGCTGCATGCATAATTAATGGTCTTTTGGAACTTAGTCCTAATAAATCTTTCCACTCTTTCTAAAAGAACCCATTTAGTAAGGTTCCAGCTCAAAGGCTGGAGTTGTAGAATTATCTCAACAAGGATTTACAGTGTTCCTCTGAGAAAACTGTGGTAAAAAGCCACATGCAAGACAGTTCTTCTGTATTTGGTCTGAGGTTTTAAATTAATACTGACAGTTGAGTTTGATTTGCTTCTGTCTATAAAGAAATAATTCCGGTTTTATTGTTGTTCACAGCCAAAACGTAAAAGACAATAATGCTTTGTCGAAGTGGAAGTGTTGGCGTGTCCGTTAATGAAATGTAATGTAATGAAAATGAAGTAATGAAACTCACAGAATGTAATAATTGGATTAATTTACAAAAGATTAAGATTTAGAGGCAGTCAAATTCAAGATGGYGGCTACTATCAGATTTTCTTAGAAAACACCAGTCTTGGTGTTAAGACCACTTTTTGATGGTCTTGGTCTTGTCTCAGACTYAACAGCATTTGAACTCGGTCTTRTTTTGATCTYGAACGTTGATGACTCAGAATTTTATTTCAAGACCACAACTGTGGWAATATCCAACCCATTCTCACTCCCAACACATCAACATAGTGACACTTGGTTAGGTAACCGTCTGCGTCCAGCTTCCGACGYGTCAGGTACCCCCACCCCCCATGTGTTGTCAAATTTTTTTGAAAAGAGTAGAAAATGCATGAAGCTAACCATCCCAGACCCTAAATTTAACTTATGTTAGCCCTATACAGCCTATTCCTGACACCAGTACCTAAAACTAACCATTAATTCTGATCCCTCATATTAACCATTTTTGAAAATGTAGAGAAGGCGCGAGAACTAACCATCCCAGACCCTAAACTTAATTTCTATTAGCCATATACAGCATATCCCCGACCTCAGTACCTAAAATGAMCCAATAATCCTGATCCTTCATATTAACCTGAGACCCCCAACTCAAAGACCCCTAAGTGGCACAAYGCGAGGGGGGTACCCAAAGCGTCAAATCTGGATKCAGRCGATACCTGACCAAGCATCAATATGTTGACGAGTCGTTAGTGAGAACATGTTAAAAGATCACTAAATAGAAAGACTATTGCCCAGTTTATTTGCTAATATCTTTGCTTTCATTGGATTTAAAACATACTGATTCAAATCCAAACCTGACTCATTGCTATTTATGTATTTTTTGTTACTGCATGTCACCCAACCACAACACCCTTCACTCACACGCTTGCACTCCAGGAAAGTGAGCTGAGAGACTTGTTAGAAATCATGCAGGCTTTAAAGTCAACATAATAAAACAAAAATAAATGTTACTTTAACTTCAAGCACTGACTATTTGCAAGAGTTTAATGTGTGATGGGATTTGTTGATTGGAGGTCTGTTTTTCCTTTATGGTTTTGGTTATTTTTGCACACAAAATGTGACATACGTGTGACACGTGAATCCCAGAAATCAGGAAGCGCCGCCTTGCAATTATTTTAGTCTGATGCTTGTGATTGCATTTTCTAATTATCATTCCAGCCTGTCCTTGAGATTTAATAGCATTCTGGATGTTAATCTTTGATGTGGTGTGCCTATTAAGCATTAGGCCAGTGTTTCTTTGCAGAATTCTTCCAAACACTCAATTAAAGGATGAAGGGAATGTGCTGAATCCATGCCAGATCCTATAGGCTCAAGCTGAATTATCTCGACTTATTCAGCCTATTAAAAAGTGGGGTGTCTTAAAAGAAATTGTTTATGACTAGATTAAGTTGTAGGCAGCTTATATGGCTTGGCATTAAAACACACAGATGCTGAGAGGCTAAATTGTTAAATATGCTTTTAAGGGATGTCTAAGGGTGGTATTTATATATATTTTCCTAATCTTGGCAAATACACATTCTGGCTGGCAACAACTCCACTGTGCTCCATTCCTTTAATCTGCAAATTATACATTCTTGTTTTGCTGAATAGGAATATCTTTGATCAGATATAAACGAGCTGGTCGTCAGGATGTGCTTCCTAGAAAAGCGCAGCCTTTGCACATTGGCCTGCATGAATTTTCATGCATGTGCTTTTCGAAATTGAACATGCAAGCTTCTCTTAAAAAAGTCTCTGCAACTAAGCACTTTTGTAGATTCTCTAACTTTGGGAAAACAACAAATATAGCCGCAAAATGCTCCAGAGGTTTGGCTGCTTAAGTTTTTTTAACAGTCTTACGAGCATAAGAAATGCATAAATATATACTGAATACACTGAAAACTGTTAAATCTATAAAAGTCACTTTTTTCAGGAAAAAGAAGCTGATGATTCTAAATCCATGAACATTTCCCCATCGGTGCAGTGTTTTAATAAAAGTAAGTAATTAAAATAAAAAAAGCTTTCACTGAGACCCTTGTAGAAATATATTACAGTATAAAAGGACTATATATTTTTTTCTTTAAAGTGAAATGCATTTCCTACTTATTATCACAAAAAGGCTTTCATTAGTCACACATATAGATATATTTATGAACAGATGCAGTGTTACATAAATGTTGGAGCGTTTAATTAAGCAACTATCCAARACCTCCTTCCTCCCACATACAGTTTGAAACTTCTGACTTTCCTACACCATTTGAAAGCTACCAATGTGATCAAACTATTCAATAATGTTATTTTTTAATAGAAATGATTATATATTAAAAAAATACAGTCTTTGGCAAAGACTGGAAAAGGAGGTGACAAGGTCACTGAGGTGGTGGTGTTAGTTTTTATGTACAGGGACAGTTCATTTGTCCAGTACCATATTTTATGACTGGTAAATGCATTATTTATGAAATAACTAAAGCTAAAAGCAGACAAAYATACAGAATGTTTTCTAGAACTTTGTGCCATTTGATTGGCACCTGGTGTGTCTCCTTTGATTGCCTGACAAACCTGCACGGACAGAGTATAAATCTAGCATGGGGTGGGGGGGGGGGGGGTGTGCACTGGCAAGCAAGCACCCGTGCAAACCTCCACTTGGTGGAGCCCTAAACCTTCCCAAAGTCAGACTTTAGAGGCTGCAGTCTTTGACAAACCTMAACAAGCCTTTCTCAAATATATTTTTATTTTATTTTCATTTTATTTTTTAAATCCTCAAAGCAATTTTGTCATACGATGAACACTTCCTTGTTGAAAAGCAACTGAAAATTGAGTGCAGAGGTTTTAAAAAAATATATTGTTAACAATGGAAGCATTGTTTAATTTTGAGCCTTTCTGCTATTTAGAAAACATTAAAAGACAAACTTTATACGTCTAGTCACAGTCCTGGATCTCAACAGAGACTTTGATGATGGCTGACCAGGTTTTGGAGCCATAATGTTAAATATACTCCTAAAAGAAAATCCAAGACATTCATTCCAAACAAAGTTTTGATTTATTCTGATTTTGTTCTACCGCTTTACCATTTCCTCACTCCTCCAAATRAATATTCATGTCTAATCCTTCAAAACATGCTGCATGGATGCCTATGAGAGCCTCTCTGCCTGCGTAGGAGAGCAGATTTCCACCTCTTTTCATTTTAACGCTGAAAGGTCACTCCACATTTGACAATGATTCAAGGAGCGTGTTAATGGCTAATTTGCACTAAACAATAATGGCATTACATAGGCGACCAGGAGCGTGCCACTAAACCACACAACCCAACACTTGGGTGCCTGTAGATGTTTGTGAGAATAGAGAACACAGAAGACTAGGCAGCTAGGAAAGAGTTATACAAAAAATAAATAAATAAATAAATAAATAATAATAACAAAAGACTGTCAGGGCTGGATTAAGTCTGTGCTTTGGAGCACATGTACACGCTTTAACACTGTTTGGCTGCTCTTCTTGAACACCACGATAAACACCTTGAAGCGTTTCTGGAGATATGAATGGTACGGCGCCTCTCCATCAAATCTGCCCACAGCACATCGCAAGTACAATTCTCCCTGACTGCACACACACACACACACACACACACACACACACACACACACACACACACACACACACACACACACACACACACACACACACACACACACACACACACACACACACACACACACACACACATAGCTTTGTTAAAACTCATAAAAATACTCCCACATACTCAAATGCACAAATTTTCAGAAATAAAGTCATATGAACTACACATTTTCTCAAACAGGTGCATCCACCTGCTGTGCAGATGTATATAAATTTATGAAGGCATTTTTGGGACTAGTTAAATTTAGCAGAATGAATGACAAAGTTAATATCAGGCTACGTTAAAACACTCAGAATTATCCCAAGCAAAAACACCCACCCTAAAGTTGCACATAGCACTCATGACAGGTGTCATGAGAATGGATTTAATGAGAATGAACAGATGCTAAGAAAAAAAAAAAAACATGCAAGGTTGGTTTATTAAATGTATTATTAATGATCATTAAGTTCAGTTTATCAAAAGACAGATGCTTAAATCTACTTACAATGTGGAGTTTATGTCATTATCAAGCACGCTCCGTACACACACGCTCCAACCTGAGTACTGAAGCAGAAATCTAATTATTTTCTAGTTCACTCAATGATGCTGTTTTCAGCCCCCTTGAAGTTGCACACTTCTTTTTCATGAGATATGTGCTCACTGCTGCGTTTAGTCTGGCTTTGTCACAGTGCAAAGAGCAGATCATCCCCTGGAGTCTGGAGGCAGAAAAAAATACAGATTCAGCCGTAAAGCATTCATCAGGAAAGCAAAAAAAAAAAGCCCTTACCTTTGGTTTTTACAGCTTTAGCATCCATCTGTGTCTCTGAGTGTGCTGTGGTGTGTTCCTTCGCAGTGCTTAGCAGGGAAGAGTCTGACTCCTGACGGCAGTGCTTACATTCCAGGACTGACAGCAGCACAGCTGAATGTGTATAGAACTGTGTGTGTGTGTGTGTGTGTGTGGAGGAGAGAGGGTCCCCTGCTTGCTCCCCCTCCCCTTCTCTCTATGCCTCTCTCTTCCCTCCTTCGCTCCGTTACTCCTCCCCGCTCTCTGGCTCCTCTCCCCTTTTCCTTCCTCTTCTACACTTTCTTTCTGCCATCTCTTCTCGCGCGCTCTCTCTCTCTCTCTCTCAGCGTCTTTCTCCTTCCTCTGCCTCCACCTCCTCCTCCTCTCTTCCGCAATCCCCTCCTCTCTCTTCCTCAAGCAGTGCATCAATCCTGCCGGTGGATGTCACTGAGGCTGTGGCGACTCTGCCCCTGATTGGCTGCCATTCACAAGTTACTGATAAAGACAGGGAGAGAAAAAAAATGAGGCGGGGGGTGGGGGTGTGACCGGCCTTACATCCCAGTGAGAGTCAGTGAGGACTGGAGGAGGTTAGAGGCTGACGGATCGTCTGAACGGTGCTTGATGTCCAAAGTAATCTGCTCCGTCTAATCTTCTTTCAGTGACAGTGGAATGAAGGAGAAAAGGGCCATAACTTGTAAATCAGCCACACAGTGGGGGGGGGGGGGGGCAATGAGGAGAAGGAGGGAGGAGTTGGACTTCGTTTTGCCCCGCGCATCTTCATCTTTCGTTCTGCCGACTTGGCCTGTGGTTCGCGGCAGGTGCACATGCAGTCCAGGCCACTCTGTCATCTCTTCTCATTACGTGCCACATGTTGGATGCATATCAATCCGTCTCCCCGTACAGCACATGCTATTGAGAGTGAAATAACATTTCAGTTCAACTGAAGGGAGCAGAGGGAGGGGAATGATAGATCATGTAGGTATTTGATAGTGTGAGACAGAAGGGATGATACATCCTCAGATGTCAGCATCCTGTCCCCAACATATACTAGRGCAGATAAATGCTCAGTTATATATGCACAGGGGACACAGTCCTTGTGACGCTTGATGCATAATTTAAGAAAAGGCAGCAGTTTCAGTGGCCAGACCCCATCTGAGATTCAAGTTTTCTTGTCCTGATATCAGTATGAATAGATTATGAGCGGCTAACTTTCTGTGCCGGATAAATAAAAATGCAAACAGGCCAAACTAATTAACATCCAAAACGAGGAACGAGGTAGCCTCCTTCTGATTCTCAGCCAAGTCCTAACACTTCATAACTCAGCCCCTCTTTGGGTTCATGGTGCTGGAAGATTAAGAAGTAGGTGAGAGTTTGTGTTTGTTCTTCTGCGCATGTGTTGGATATTTCCATGTAAGGATGTGAGGGTCGAGGTGTTTACTTTTCTTGTGCGCGTGCAAGATGCACGTGTGAGTCTGTGTGTGGTGTGCCTTGCTAACAAGCCACTGAAAAAGGAGGCAATTTTGTACCCCTCTCTCTCTCTCTCTCTCTCTCTCTCTCTCTCTCTCTCTC